TGTAGATGTGAGGTAATATGCTTCAGGTGATCATTATTGAAGGTGTACCTCAAGTAGAGGTTAAGGTAATTTTTTTGAGGTAGTTTCGATTTTGGTCACCTGTAGTATATAAATATCAATGTAAAAACAACTTGAAGTATAAATCACTTGAAAAAGCTACTGTGCTAGCGAAACATAAAGTTTGTGAAGATCAAATCGTGAGGTGTAGTTTTTGAAATTCTCTAATAGTGATTAGACAATTCACTATAACAATTTTTTTCACTTTACCAACAATTTCATCGGTTGTTGATGTGCTAGGGAGTCCAGTGCGAACGTCGTCATTCACATCTACTCGACCTTCTGTGAAAACTTTGTACCACTTGTGAACATTTTTCTAATTCAAAGTACAATCACCGTATGACACTGTCAAAATTATGTTTTTGAGCACTTCTCTTCAGGTATTCAGATTGGTAGACTCCTAGGGCAAGTTTCTTACGGCGAAACATCGATGTCTACCAGTGAGCATGATAGTGTTCCATGTAAGTGAAATTTACTACCTTCCACTCAATATATTGTGTAGAAATCCTGTGAATGATATCTGATTCAATTCCATAACAAATGTTTGGAATACAAACTGAGTAGAGAAAAGTGTTTTCTGTATAATTCACTGTTCATATAAAAGTATTTGTTTCGAAATAATGTTTCTTTCGGTAAATGAATGTTTACATAAAAGTTGCTGTTTCAAGAAGGCTTGCTCTTTCAGTTTTTATCTGAAAGTTACTTCTTTCAAAATTGATTACTTCCTTCTTTCGTTTGGAAGATTTCCACATTCTTCTGTATCAAGATGGAGTAGTAGAAAGCCAATATGTGTTTTTTCCACAATTTTGAATGTTTTTGATCATCTACTGTTGTCATGTCGGAACCTCAGAAATGCGCTTGGAGAGAATGGATTGCTTGTTTCTACTGAAAAATGGTCTTACACAAAGTAAGTTTGACAAAGACTAATAAAGATGGAATTGGAACCTCTGACGTAGAATAAATCCAAAAACAAACATGGACCCGTGGTTTTATCATGCTGTTTGGCATAAATGGTAATTCATCGATAACATTTTGGTTTCTTGTGGTACTGTTAATGATTATTGTGAGCATATTTTTGTTCGAGTGAACTTTATCAAAGATCTTCATTATTGGTTAACAGGAAAAATAGTACTAATTAGTACTACAACTACCTTCTTGTTTGTTGAAATCGCTACTTTGCGATAGTTTGAAAAAATATACATTACAATTGGAAATTATCACAGAAAATGCAGAAAAAAAACCAAAAAACTCGAATCCAAAAAATTATTTTCATCATTATTTAAAATTTTGAGCTATTCATTGAGATTCCTACCTCGATTACTCGAAAAATGTGACGAGTTCAATTATCAAAACCATACGAAAACACCACTTTTGCAAGGAAAATGTGTATCTAACGAGGAAAATGAGAACAAAATGATAAAAACATTAATGAGAAGATTGCAGTCACAAGGATTTTCCTGAGAACAAGCAGAAGATGCTGATGCCGACATAATTGAGACCTCGATATAAATTGTCAGGGAAAGTAATAAAATTGTCATAGTTGTGGGTCAAGATATTAATCTTCTGGTACTTTTGAATCGATTGAATTCAAATAATCATGACATTTATTTCCTCAAGCCTGGTTCTGGAAATATAAGATCTATTTTTCACAACTAATAGTTTCGAATATGAATACTTTAAAGATATAATTGCCTTTACAATTCCGATACATTTGGATTTGCCAGAAGAGAAAAGAAAAAAATCTGTTCAGATTCATTATTGGACGATAAAAGTATTAATTTGGCCAGTATTTTTTATAAAAAAGATACGAACAAAAAAGATATCTAAAAAAGGGATAACAATTGATCAAATCTATTTGTAAATGTGAAAATGACAATATACAATTATCTTCCATATTGGCAAATCTCCCACCCACAGAAGGTGTAGCAGAACAACATTGTTACATGCCATATTATCAGCCTCAAACTTGGCTGGGTAACGAACTGACGGCAACGGCTGCACCTGTAAAACTAGATGTAACGTCTAAAATGTGGCTGCCGAAATCATGGTTTGAAATGCACAAATTCATGGTCAAACTGTCATTGTCTGAAAAATGTTCCAATGTTGGAAAAAAAATTTTATGTCGTTTCATAAATTTGAACTATGGCTTTCAGTGGTGGTACATTATAAAATTTCAAAATAATTTGAAACGGAAAAATGATCAACTTGGCAATGTATCTCAAAAATATAGACACCTTTCCAATTTTTTGCGATATATGAATGAACCAATTGGTGTATTTTGATTTGTATTTGTTTCTTCATAAGTGAATTATGAGTTTTGAATTTATGGATGTTTAGGTTTTCCCAGATGCCCATACGGTTTCCTTTATTGACATGTTTCATGAGTTTGATGTTTTCTGGTGAGGGAAAGTTATGTTTGTTTTGTATGTTTTTCATTGCTGTTTATTTTTTGTGTTATTTTTGTGTTCGGCTTGTAAGTGATGTTGATATTCAAGGGTTTGAAGATGTTTGTTAAATTTTTGGTTTGGTGATCTATGTATGTGAATGCAGTTTATCGTTGTGGACTGCATTCAAACCTCGTAATTGTGGATAAATATTTTCAAAAATTGTTTCTATGTAGCTTTTGATCATAAAAAAAGGATCAAAAAATGTGTTCAATGAATAATAAAGGTTTTCAATTCTTAACCTGAGTAAATTGTTGATAAAAAATTGAAAAATAACATATTTTTTTATTTTCTCAACAGGAATGTATTCTGAGATCTTTCAAAAATAGCTTCAAAGAAAGGCAGATTCTCAGATTTGTTAATTAACAATTATCGCACTTGCATTGTTCAACTGCAAGTAGAAGAAAATTGTTGCATAACTAACTAATGAGATTATTGTTTATTAATTTATCCAGTAGGATTATCAATTGTCAATTTTGATATTTAATAAGAGAAAATAATATTTTTTNACTAAATCTGTCTGTAATACTAAGCAATCATCTGGTGTTTGAATTGTCTTAAACATTTTTAAATCATCTGCAAAAAGTAAGATGTCAGTATATTTTAAGTTAACTCTGATATCATTAATAAAAATGTTGAAAAGAAACGGCCCTAGATGGCTTCCTTGTGGTACACCTGATAAAACATTAATTTCGTGAGATATGTATTCCTTGACTTTTACATATTGAGATCTGTTACTAATATAGCTTGCATATAGCAACTATTCCAATAGTTTTCCACAAAGTCCAATTGCTTTCAATTTCTCACATAAAATTGTATATTTGTATAAATTCACTTATAGGATTTTCGTACACTGGAAGATCGTAATATTGAAAGTATCGAAAAAACTGCCTTATCTCTACAATAACTTTTACGTAATATTTTGTGCTACCACTCGTTCGAAGGAAAGCAAGATTTTTGATCGTTCGGCATAATTGTGTCAATGAACTGCTTGTTAACCTATTTCACAAAAACCCATTCGAGAGCTCTTTTGATGTAGCTTACAAAGGTATCTAATGTATAGTGATGAGATTCTTTTGTCGCTGAGATGTGAAAGAAAAGAAAATTTTGTTGGAACTTCATTAGTTTTGACTTCCATTGTCTAATGACATAAAATGATTTGGAATCTTTGAAAGAACCAATACAACTGAAAATTAAAAAGAATTGCTGAGAATAACAATTATATCAAGCAAAAAAAAACCTGAAGCCAATTACTTCACGACGTTTTGATTGTTAGTATCCATAGTTGGCTTCGATTATCACCCAAAGACTACAGTGAAATAAAATGCAAGCAGAAAATTGAACAATTGAAGAAAAAAATTAAAAATCGTATTCGGGTGATGACCGAAGACGACTGTGGATACAATCGAAACGTCGTTAAGTAACTTGGCTCGAAATATCTCAATTTTAAATAATGTATTTGTTTAATTGTTCAATTTTCAAATTTTACCTGTATTTTATTGCCTGTATTTTATTTAATGCTCAATATAATTGTTATTTTCAGCCCTTAAAAGCCCTTAAAATTGCATTTGAAACAATTGATCGAAATATTCTACTTGGAAAATTAAAATATTACAGGATATCAGGGATTGTTTTCGATTGAATTCAAAGTTACTCATTCAACAGAAGACAAAAAACTAAATTTGGAAAAGAATTGTCAGATGAACTTATGATAATTGAGAGTGGCATACCCCAGGGTACTGTGTTAGGTCCATTGCTTTTTATTATTTACCTAAATGGTGCTAATCACATATCTGGATCACACTGTATAAATCTTTTTGCAGATGATACATTGGTTTATTGTATACATGAAAATTTGGATCAGGCAATTGTTGAAATGAATAGGTCTTTAAATAGCATTGAAACATATTTATTTATTAATAAACTGAAACTAAATGTCAGTAAAACAANAAAAACTTTCTTTCCCAAATTTCAGTAGTTCGGACTTCTATTGAATAATATGTCACATTAGACAACGGGAGTACGAACTTATGAAATTCACCATGAAACATTGTCAACCACTTTTAAACAAATTTTTTTGGAACCTATACAATTCATTAATTTTTCCATTCGAACAGACAGATTGTCAAACTGTATATTTAAATTCAGATGAATTGTATCATATATTCAAATTTGTTTGATAAGTTCAGATATATTTTTTCTGAATGGAATAGTAAAAAGGGTTACTGAAAGTAAAAAAGTTTCCAGTGAATCGATGAATATTCCACTGAATGGTTTTCAATTTTTTCGAAATGGTTTTCGAAAGATACACTCACTAGATAAACAGAATCAAAACAATTTTGTGATTAAATTATAGCAAATCAATCATCACATTCTATTCTGAAGATATTGATAGTAAAACATTTCACGTTGAGACAAATCAGTAATTGACTATTGTAATTTTTGAAAACTCGAAAGTAAACTTCAACTATCAGTGGAATTTCGAAAAAGACAACTCACCTGTACATCAATGCTGGTAATCGATGGAAATCTTTTCTTCATCAGTTGTGACATCTTGATACTTTTAGATTTAAATAGGTTTAATTGAACTATACTGATATGGAAGAATACTCAAGAATAATAATTGAAAACGTATTAATCTGCTAAAACTAATGAATTCTGAATAATTAATTGACATCACGTTAGGAGTCTTGGGATTCAGAAAAATTGAACGTACGTAAAAAATATCCAATGGGGAATGTTCCTCTTGACGAAAATCAAGTAGTTTTCATAAAAGAGCTCTAAAACAACGTATTTCAAACTTATCATTTCAACCTTTTTCTTTAAAAAATTATTTGAATACTTAAAAAAGAGGATTGAAATAATGCATTGAACATTCGTTTCTATTTCACCATTTGGCAACATCGGTTATATCTAATAAAGGATAATGAATCTGTTACCTGTATGAGACAAACAAAGATGACATATTTCATAGGCGTTCTGTTTACTTATGTTCCGAGTTCCGAGACATTCTGTTACATATGACATTTTGTGCACATAACCTATATTCCTCTATATAAATAAATAACAAAACAACTGTTGTTTATGTGGCTTGTGGAGGTGGTATTGAACAGAAAAAAATTTGACATGGTAATTGCTACCTGGATATATCCTTTCCCAACCAGGATTATCAAAATATACCGTTATTTATTCAATACTAATTTTATTATTTTAGACTCAAAAGTTATGAAATCACGTTCAGATACTCAATCAGAATTGGTGGCAACTCCAATGTGAGTGGCTCATTGATTACCACTTTGTAATAATATTCAGCCACTCGCTTCAGTTTCTAAAAATCAACTGCACTCGAAACTACTTTTTAGTTTCATATAAGTGTTGGGGGATTTCAGAAATTAAAGATATGTTTAACATAGACTGATAGTTAATGTAGCCAATTCATGTCAAATTGAATGACACACTAGAAAACTAACCCAGAAAATTTAAAGAAATGTTTTCTGTGCCGGTCAACCGTAGTTCAAAAGAAGAACGAGTTAAGAAGCATGTCATTTCTTGTTGGGTTGAATTGAAATGAGAGCGAGAGCTATATATATTGAACAAGTTCAATATGCGAGACTATAAACCGGCCTATAAACAATTACAAACAAACCAAGAAGGGGAAAATGGTCTAGTTTTTGCAAATGATGTACTCAAAAGCTATTGACGGTAGAGACATTCAAATTGAATTTTTATGAAATGGCACCTTCCAACAATTTTATTTTGTTCATTCTGCTCGCTTTGATTGTTTTTAATTCAGGTACATTGCAGAATATCACTCATATCATAAACTATAGTTATTTCTCGCGGTTCCATTCGCGTTGATTCCATTTTGTGAATAACAATTTGATGAAGAATGTTGATGAAAGCCTGGAAGTTAACGGAAATGACATCGAACATATTGTGAAATAGATCAAAAATTTAGTGTGAAAAGACAATGCGATATTAAGTATTCCTCGCTCCTTTGTGAAACATTCAGAATAAACATTTTTCACTTCTTCGCTCTCGCTGATTTTATTGAGGAAATCAACAAAAGTAATATCAATGGCAACACAATCAACGAAAAAAATGTTCAAAATGATCTCTATCTAGTTTCATACAGTAATACAGCCTACTCTCGAAAGCGAGCCGTACATTATTCAAGATGTCTGGAGTCAGCAATCGGCATTCCTGAACAATTGTCTGTCGCAGGTCTCCTAGATTTGTAGGCTTAGTAGTTTACACTTTCGACTTCAGGGGTCCCCACAGGAAGAAGTCTATCGGTGCGAGATCAGGTGATCTAGCTGGCCACTCCACTGGACCTCTTCTGCCGATCCAACGCATTGAAAAAAGTTCGTTTAAAAACTGTCTCACCCGAACATCAAAATGGGAAGGGTACACCATCCTGGTGGAATTTTATTTCATTTTACAGCAAATTGTCATCATTTTCTGAAATTTGTATAAGCATAGGATCTACACGGTCTTGTAATAAATTTAGGTATGTGTCTTCATTGAAAATCTGTTCAAAATCTGTTTTTCCATTAATCAGCTGTCGCTCCCATACGAACGACAACTCTCAGAAGTTGAGAAACGTGTGCGAGCTAAGAACTAACGAAGTCTTACTTTTTAACGTGTGATTCCTTACACGGTTGCAGAATCATCCCAGCTTCAACCAGGTAAATTCTCTCGAAAAATATCTGGTCGCAGCAGGAATCGAACCCACGGTCTTCCGATCGTGAGTCGGGCGCACTACCACCGCGGCCAATTCCACAATTGGGATTACCTTCAATGAAGAATGGTCCAACAATATGATTACGAAGAATGCCGGCCCAGACATTCAATTTTTGTGGAGTTTGTGAATGTGTTTCCATCACCAAATGAGGATTCACATTTCTCCAGTAACGACAATTATGTATATTCTCTTCACCATTCAAAATGGAAGAATTTTCGTACGAAAAACTTGTATTGTATAATAGGTTTGGGTTATTGGTCAATTTCTTGCTGAACACCTCACAAAAATGAACTCGACGATCAGGATCATCTTCGTTCAATTGCTAGCCTGAACTAGCCTTATTTTGAAAGGATGAAATTTGTAGGCTCTCAAAATCCGAAAAATACTAGTAGCTGATTCACCAGACGCTCTAACTACTTGTCTAAATTGTCGATTATCCATTTGTACATGTCCTGTACATATCCTGTCCCTCATTTCTGACAGAACAGGATACTTCCTGTTTTTTGTTTTTTTTTGTTGTGAACAGAACCAGAAGTTTGAAACTTATCCATCAACTGTTCAAGGTATTGATGGCTCACGTTGTGGTCTGGATAATTCGTATTATGAATTATTGCAGCAGTTTTAGCACATTTATTATTTCGAAAATAGGTTGCAACAATTCCTATTCTTTCTTCAGTCGAATCAACCATGTTGAAACACTGTGAACAAGGATGACTGAATAATAATTCGTGAAGAAGTGACAGTGGCCAACTATCCACTTTTTGTTCTGCGACAACTAGATTCAACAAAAACTACCAGTGCAGGTAAAACTAACAGTGTCGTCCATTTTGAAACATTCACTACTAATTAAATCAATTCTACAAAAAGACCTGCGATAGAGAAATGTTAGGGAATGCCGATTTCCACGGAAGCGCAGAAGGGTCACATATTTTTTATTCGTTATTTTATTATTTGTTTCTTGGAAATTACTACTTTGAATCTCGAAATTTCGACTTTTATCTCAAAATTTCGACTTTATCAATATTTAGACTTTTATCTCGAAATTTCGACTTTAATCTCGTAATTTCGAAATTACGACTCTAAACCCGAAATTTCTTTAAACTCGAAATTTCGACTTTAATCTCGAAATTTCGACTTTAATTTCGAAATTTCGACTTTAATCTCGAAATTACGAATTTTATCTCGAAATTTCGACTTTATTCTCGTAATTTCAAAATTACCACTTCAAACTCAAAATTCCGACTTTAAAGTCGAAATTTCGATATTAAAGTCGAAATTTCGAAATAAAAGTCAAAATTTTGGGATGAAATTCGTAATTTCGATATTCAGAGGTCATTTCGAACATTTTATCCGTTGATTGTGTTGTCATTGATATTACTTTTATTGATTTCCTCAATAAAATGAGCGACAGCGAATTTTCTTTTTTTTTTAATAAAACGTTCAACAATTAATTTCTCAATGACGAATGAACCAATTTTGAAAAACATCACAGAAGTGATAGAAGGATAAAAGACCTTTCGAATGATGTATCACTCGACCCCCCATGCGATTGTGAAAAATATGGGGGGTAGTTGCTGTCCGCAGGGGGATGAAGTTTCGAGTATAATTTCTATATCAGAATTAGTCCCCCTGGAAAAAAAATTGAAGTATTCTTTGAAATTTTCGATGACATGTCCGTTTCTGATTTACAGGGGGGTCAAGTTTTTTTTGGAACGCCCTGTGTGTGTAAACTGTCAATTATTGATCCGATAAATAATTTGTACAAACAATCAATTCAATAGTTCAGTATATCATCCTCAATGTTGGGAATAAATTATTCAGTTTTCGATTTCACATTCTTTCTTCTGACTTTTTCAGAAATTTCGAGCTTGGTTCATTCGGTTTTTGTATATATTTGTGATTGGGAATTCAGGTTTTGATACTCAGGTTTTCAACACATTTTTTAAGATTTGAGGATATAAAAAAGTGTCAATAATTTATGAAAAAAATATTATCGACAGATTGTTAAAAATAAAAAACGTATATATTCTTTAATTTTTTTTGATAATAATTGATAAACTATCAGAAATGGAAAATGGGTTGAATTATTTTTTCAGAAATTATTGAAATTTTCAGCTCTAATGAAGGTTGTAGGAATTCCTCAAAACATTTCAATAGTTCCCAAAATATTACTCATCGAGTTTACATTCATTCGAAAATTTACTTCCTTCCACAAGAAACTTGTTTGAAATTTTTTGTCTGTCAATAGTCTTTGAGTAATGTGAAAAATTTCAATCTCATCTTTTATAATTGTTTATATCAGGTTCTGTACATTTTTGAAATATCACTGGGAATGAAGTGAGCTCTCACACTCTTTCCAACTGTGAACTAGTTTGAAAAATCAATTCTTGTCCACCCAGTTTGTCTTCAACCTTCACCTACAAACTATGTGAAAAGCTGGTATAAAAACTATGTAAAAATCAATTTTCCACGGAACCACCCACTGTCTCGATCGGAGAATTTTCTACGCACTTTAGAAATCCGAAATGAAAAATTTTCGCGCCGACCGCGATAGTGTTAGGCCGCAGTAAGAAGGAAACTGGCGAAAAACTCAACTGTATTTTTAGCGGTGCTCTAGAACGAGCTATTTCCATCCTACGGCCGCGAATAGCGAACACACACAATCATTGACAGCATCATTTTATTCACCAACAGGCTCAATTACTCTTAAAAAATGTTAATTTCGATCGATGTAGTTTTATTTTTACTTTCTAAGGTAGCGGTGAGGTAATTGCCTTGATTGCCAATGATTTGTTGCATTTTACTACGTACTGTCTTGATACATCAAACACTGGGAGTTGAGAGGAATCAACTGTATTTTTAAACCTCTGCAAATTGTACGCTGATTCATTAGCAGGACTTGATACAGTTGAAACTTTCTGGGTCGTTTGATATTAAATATTGTCACATACCTAGTTTGAATCGATTTTGAACTCATGGTGGTACCCTTTTCATAAACGAATCAGATTCTATGTATTTCTGAAGATTCATAGGAGTGGCTATTGTAGCTATTGTTATCAACATGTTCTATGATTATTCATCCAATCAAGAATGGACAGTAATTCCTCCGGCTTGCCACGTCGATAGTTTAATTACAATTAGTTTAGTTGAAAAGTACCTTTCGGGCAAACTTTTTTCTTTGCCTTCGAAAAATATGGCGTGAGGATGAATTGTTTTTGAATTCGAGTGCCGCTTGTGAAAATGCAAGAGTAATGTCATCTTCTAGGCACCCCTCAAACTGATTGGTAGAAACTCACCTTTTGATGTTCACCACACTGTAATTTCTTGAATCTGAAATATTTCTTTTTCCCCTTATTTTGATTCAATATCGAAATATACACCCTAATTTTCTATCGAAAATTCTCACGTCAAACCATCTGTTAAAAAAAAAATCGGTGTGCTTCTTGTTTGTTGAAATCGCTACTTTGCGATAGTTTCAAAAAATATACATTACTATTGGAAATTATCACAGAAAATGCAGAAAAAACAAAAAAACTCGAATCCAAAAATTTATTTTCATCATTATTCAAAATTTTGAGCTATTCATTGAAATTTCTACCTCAATTACTCGAAAAATGTGACGAGTTTAATTATCAAAACCATACAAAAACACCACTTTCACAAGGAAAATGTGTATCTAACGAGAAAACGAGGACACAATAATAAAAACGTTGATGAAAAGATTGCAGTCACGAAGATTTTCCTGTGAACAAGCAGAAGATGCTGATGCCGACATAATTGAGACCTCGATAGAAATTGTCAGATAAAGTAATAAAATTGTCATAAAATTGATATCGATCTTTTGGTACTTTTGAATGGATTGAATTCAAATAATGATGACACTTATTTTCCCAAGCCAGGTTCTGGAAATGAAGAAGATATATTTTTCACAACCAATAGTTTCGAATATGAATCCTTCAAAAATATAGTTGATTTTCTGCATTGCTTTTCTGGTTGCGTTACATCTGGAATTGCCAGAAAAGAAACAAAATGCATGGTAGATTTATTATTGGACGATAAAAATTCATCAAATTTGACAAATATTTTTTATATAAAAAAAAACGAAGAAGATATCAAAAAAATGTATTACAATTAAACAAATCTATTTGTAAATGTGAAAATTATCATCCATATTGGCAAATCTCCCACCCACAGACGGTGTAGCGGAACAACTTTGTTACAGGTGCAGTACCCGCCTATCGAAATAGTGACGGAGCAGCGTGACTTATATATTATCTGAGCATTAGTCACTGAGATGACTGTGAAAGTGCCGATTACATTATGTTATAGGGTAGGAAATGTAGTATTGATTCATTACCGTTTGTGACTTGAAGTAAAAGAGTCGTTAATATATCGTTATACTGAGAATACGCGTATGATTCCATAACATTGTCCAATCTACTACACAGGTCATATTATCAGCTTCAAACTTGGTTGGGTAACGAATTGACGGCAACAGATTGTAGCTGAAAGCAACATCGCGTGGCGTTATGGCCAAATTTACAGAAAAGGAATTATTTCTCAAAACTATTTTCTGCACCAGTGAAACTATATCACTCTAAAATGTGGCTGCCGAAAACATGGTTTAAAATGCACAAAGTTATGCTCAAATTGTCATTGTTCAGAAAAATTTTCCATGTTGAAGAAAAATTGATGTCTTTCACTAGTTCAGACTTCCATTGTCTACTATATACAATCACCTCCAAACAAAATTGATGTCGTTTCGTAAATTTGAACTATGACTTTCAGGTGTACATTATAAAATCTCAAAATAATTTGAAACGGAAAAATGATCAACTTGGCAATGTATCTCAAAAATATAGACACCTTTCCAATTTTTTGCGATATATGAATGAACCAACAGGATATGAGAATTTTCACTATTGGCGGGGTGCCAAGCATGAAAGTTTTGTATTTGCCAAACTGGACTATTCAATTTTGTCAACCCAATAGGATAAAAATGAGTTTCTCTATCAACTACCTGAGATCTATAATATAATATCAGTCTTCAAAAGTCAAAACTAGTACTGAGCTTAGCTGAGAATTAATTGAGGCTTACCTATTAATGTGCGATATATGATAGGTAGGACATAGCCATTCGTTCAGAATTGGACGAAATAGAATAAAATAGAAATAAAATTCATTTTTATTCAACGACAAACAAATTGATGAATCATCTAGAGAGATGATTAAAGAATAAACTTTTTGAATTCATTTTTTCAAATCTATATAATCTATGGCATTCCAAATTCAATTCAAATCACCTTTAGTGTCCTTGATATTTTTTTTGTAATACTCGCGTATCTTTCATTTTGTAATGAATTTTCATCTGCTTTACTACTCCATAACATCAGGTGTTTCAGAAATAACAGCCATCTTGTGGAAGCTACATCTGTGAAATTAGTTGTAATTTATTCACTCTATTTTGCCAAATCACCATGGACAGACAATGTAGCATTAAACAACACGAGCAAATTATAGAATTGTTTTAACGAAATGGGTGTTCCGTTCGGAGAACGTACCGCGCGCTCTACCCTTTTAAAGGTCACCATAATCCTACCGAGAGGATTATTCGCAATGTGTTGGGTGAACTTGAGTCCACTGCTTCAGTAAGTGATCGACCAACACCTGTATGTCGACGAAATGCAAGATCTGCCGAAAATATCGCCGCTTTCTGTGTGAAAGTGTGCAGGAGACTTCGAGGCAGTCGATTTCGCGTCGCTTACAAGAACCCGGCCTTTCGCAAACCACAACTTGGCGAATTTGCTTCGTGACTTAGGCCTGCACTTGTACAAAATTCAGCTGACCCAGAAATTGAAAGTAAATGACTATAGACAATGACGTTTATTCGCTGAATGGGCTCTGGAGCAATTGGCAAGTGACCCTGGTTTTCATCGATTAATCATCTTCAGTGATCAGATCCATTTCTGTATGAATGGATATGTGGACAAACAAATTTTTCAAATTTTGATCGATACCAATCCATATCCAATGTATCCCGAAAAAGTTACTATTCAGTTCGATTTTTGGGATGGCGGCGTCATCGGTCTATATTTCTTTGGACATCAACATGGATCGCATGTGGATGTTTGTTCGTTTGTGTACATTCTTTTGTGGAAAATATGTGAACTGATTATGATAATTACTAATTTTTCCCGTAGTATGCGCTGCTCAGGCCCTATTCCCTGAAGCCCCGATACATTCAGGAGGGCGCGCCAACATATCATCAACCAACCAATCACCAACAGCCTTCTGCATTTGTCTGGCTAAGATTCCTGCCTTAGTGCCGCAAGCCGGTATGATTTTGAGATTCGAGAGTAGAGAGAGCATCATTCTACCAAGGACTCCAATAATCAGAACAACCATCTTGACAGAGTGATCTGGATAGAGTCTCCGGAGTTCGAAGAGAAAATCTCGATATTGTAGACGTTTTTTCTCTTTTTTTTCACACAATACTCGTCTCGTCAGGAACTAAAAATTCCACGACAAATACCATCTTGCTCTGGTGGTCGACAAGGACTACATCAAGCTTATTAGCTTGTATGAGCCTGAGGGTGGGAAACGAATAGTTCCAAAAAATTCGGCACTTTTCGTTCCCCATAGATGGTAGTAAAGCAATCTTTGGACCGCGTTTTGTCGATGGATAAAGGCCGAGCTCGCATATGCTGGACATGGTAATAGCAATTGCACGCGACTAAGGTGTTTAAGACACCATCTTGGCATGCCATGATGAACTCCTCAGTTTCCGACTTCAACCGCAGAAGTGAGGTGATCTCTTGCGTCTTTTATATGAGCTTTTTTCTGATCGGGTTCCAACTCGGTGACAGAGTTGGGATCACCTCGTTCAGTGTCGAAAACTAAACCGAGTTCATCAGCTGCTCGGGCAGCTGCCCTCAAGAGAAATGCTCCAATTTCGGCTCTCTCATGGTCACGGACCATGCAGAGAAGGGGATCCGAACTCCTGACGACTTAACAGGCTACAGCCAGTGCAATTCTCCAAACTCAAAAGTCTCCCTGTTGTCGGAAAAAGTATAACCGTGTTGATTTGGGATGCAAACTCCTATAGAGATGCATCATTTTTAGGGTCTTTACGTCAAGTGGATACAGCTCCTTCCGAGTCCACTTCACTACTCCAAACGAGTAGAGTAAGATTGGAACGGCAAGCATATTTGTTGCGGCAACTTTGTTTTTCCCCGACAGTTCCGATGACCGGATCTGTCGAAGTTTGTGCTGATACTTGCCGCGGAGAGAGTTATTATTATCATTAACATTATTATTTATTTATTCATTAACGGGTAACACCCAATTAATTATTGTGAGCATATTTTTGTTCGAGTGAACTTTATCAAAGATCTTCATTATTGGTTAACAGGAAAAATAGTACTAATTAGTACTACAACTACCCCCCATCTACGCGGGCGAAGATGGGGGCAACAACTAGTATTCCATAAATTCTAAAACAGGAAATAGTTCTTACATTCAACCTAAAGTCCTCTTCCCACCATAGTGAGAAATAATTT